AAAAAAGGGTCAATATACGTACTGTGATGGAACTAGGGGAGTATAAACGATTCTTGGGTCCAATATTTCACCAAGAACTAATACCCCTCCACCATTGCCCTCCCCTTTCAAGCAATGGGAGAATACTTTGGGCGTAATCCCACGTGACGAAAGTTGCGAAATTACAGAAAGGTCCTTCTGGCCGAACCCAATTATCCCATCAACAGCTCTATCTGATTTAGTCAAGTCCCCATACAGAGATGTGCTGCACCTATATTTTTCCCACATAACAAACTAATCCATCAATCAACAACTTCAAAAGAGAAAGTAATAAAAACAATTAATAAATGTCGAAGAATTTATTAACAGCTTACCCAAAGACAATAGGAGCCGATGAATTTTCAACTGACGAAGTACCGAAAATCGTGTCGAAATAAAGAAGATCGGACACATAATAACCAGTGGTCCCACTTCCATCTCCATATTGAAACGAGTAGCCACACTTATCGCTTTCGGCAGTGCATGCAGTTTGTGCTATATTGGCGCAAGTATTATCCGAACATGAAATACGTGAAGCGGTTGAAGATTTAGCAGAATCAAAGAAAGTGAGAGGAACCTGCAAGGACAGCTCAGCATCATCAGTATAAACTATAAACTACAAACACCAAAACTCAAACTACTTTATGAAGTACAGAAGGAAATTTGTTATACGAGATTAAGTGAGAGTTTTTACTCCTAATCCACTGCTCTGCGGGCAATTCTCACAAGAACCGCAATTAACCCATAATATGTCACTCCCGGTGTCGATTTGCACGTTGAAGTCTCTTGGTGGAGATCCTAATCTTACTTTGGTAAAATAAAGTCTGTTCAAAATCGATGGCCTTTAGTTGGTTTAACTAGAGAATGAGAAAACAAGAGTGAATAAGGTAACTATTACGATTTCGTATGTAACAAACACAGACTTGTTGCAATTGGGACAAAGTGATAGCATGAAAATCGACCAAAAAAGGCCTAAAATCTCCCAACTCCATAGTTGGACAGTATGACAACAAAGAACAGAGAGAACTCCAAACAATGAATGTGGCTACTGACTGGTAACAAAGTCACAAACAGCACAAGTTTTGAAAATACACAAAGGGCTACCATGAATCAAGGTCCCATTTTGCAAGTCCACTAATGAAATTGATTTCACGAACAAAAACCCCACCAACAAAGCCCAACAAACAGACAAATAAAAAGAGAATAATTCAATAAACAAATTGACAGAGATAGAAAAGGGGAAAAAGATGGTGAGCTAAAAACATCAAAATGAACAAGAACTCCACACAAACACAAGCGTAATTAAAAAAGATTGAGCTTTTCAGAGGCGGGGTGGATCTACCCAACGGCGTAAGGGTCAGAGCTGCCCGTGACCGGAAAATCCACGATGCCGCCGGAAAATCCCTGTAGCATCCGCGCGTGCCTCGCACGGTCCCGAGCTTTAGCCACCTCAAGCTCCACCTTCTCCTCCACGGGGAACACCCTCTCTAGGGAAAGCACTTTTTGGACCCCAGTGCCGCCGCTGGCCGCCGACACTAAAGCGGCGGCTGCTACAGCAAACACCGCCACCGCCGCCGCCGCCATAACCCGCCCAACCATTGCCGGCACTCCAAAGCCCAACTGAAAATTTTCACATTAAAGACAGAAAAGTACAAAATCCACATTTACGCACACGAAGCACACGTCTTCGATGTGTATGTGTGTGTGATTATAAAAGCACAGAGAGGCCATTAGAGGCAAAGATTTTGATTAAAAAAAAAAAAGGTTAGTAGTTACTTGTTAAAATACAGCGGTTTCAGACGAGGGTAAAATGGTAATATACAAATTCCAATTTTTCATTAATCTATTTTATCTAGACAAATCTTTTTAACAAGGCCTCCAAAGGGTTTATCCATCTTATTTTTTATTACCAAAAATACAAATCTGTTGTATGAAATTTCATGTTTTTATTTCTATCTTTTTAAAACATATAACATTAATTTGAATGATATTGAAAAAGTGATTTAATTAATGTAGTGATTTTATTAATGCAAACTATGAGAGTATTCTCATTCCATTCATTTTATTAATGCAGTAATTTTATTGTTAAAGACGGTGCTATTTTATGGCCCAATAGCAAAAATGCCTTATAAAGAACAAAATTTTTATAAAGTTGATTTAAATATTTTGGAAAAAACTACAGTTCCATTACGAAACCATTCCGTCGGGGTTTTTAAACAATGTACAGTTAAAACCATTATGGAATGATCAAGTAACGGGACTGTAATATTTCCCTAAATATTTATGGACAGTTTTGTCTATTTTAACAATGTGTGATGTATAAATGCTATTATAGAGTACACACAAACTGTGTTTTTTTCCCCTTACAATCATAATTTACAGCTATGTCATTAAAAAGGAAAATGAGAAAGAATACAAGTGATATTTTCCTTACAAGCTTAATTTGATATTGAAAATGAAGAGAAATAAAAATAGAACATCATATTTTCCTTACGAGCTTAATTTGTAGGCAAAAATTACATACGAATTATCAAGGGAGCACACTAGCAATTAAATAAATTTTAGCTCTTTCTCCCTCTAGATTTTCCTTTTAAATTAATTAAAATGAATAGTTACAATATTTAATACTTATGTTACAATTTTTTTTATACGAACCCGCTAACTAAATAACTAATTATGAGTCGATATTGCTTACTGATAACTACATGCTCTGTGTAGATCCTTATTTCTTAGTTTTTCCTTCTTGAGGCAACAATTATTTTCAAAAAACAAAAAAAAAAATATATCAAGCAATAAATATTGAAAAAGGTTTATTAGTGGGTGGGTCTCAAAGTCTAATGCAAGTTAAAATGCTTCAGTATATTTGCGTAAGGTTTGAAATTTAAATTCAAAGTTTTAAAGGGGGTGGGTTAGTAAATGAAACCTTTTTATTATCATGTTTAAATTTCAAACAATTGTGTCATCATTGTAAACTTTAAATAGTGCTTTAAGTTTATTTAGGTTGTGGTTTTTGTTTAAAAAAATATTTTACTAAAATATTTGAAAATATTAAGTTTAGATGTGAAGTTCATGATCAAACTCTTTATTAACAAGTGCAACACCCTTACTGTTAAAATAAATTAAATTTTCCATGATCTTTTAATACTTTGTAAGATTTCAAATTGATACCAAGATTTTTAAAAGTTAAAAAAACAAAAACAAAACCCACGTTATGATAAAATGTAAAAAATGATTTAAAATTTCTACAAAGATACACTCCCCAAGTGTATAACTATAAAATTATTGAAAGTCAGATTTGTGACTATTTTCCATGACCATTAATATTTTTGTTAAAATGTAATATCTTTCTTTCTACTCTTGATATTTAAGCTCTGTCTGATTTTATTCTTTTTTCTTAGTTTTCTTTAATGAAGGACCCAACTGATATTTCCATTTCAGCTTAACTAGTACGTACCCCGTGCGATGCACGGGAAAGAGATATTAAATGAATTATTTTCAGAGACTCTGTCCGTTTAAGTCTGAGAAGAGTTATTATCCATTTTCCACCTATTTTAATCACCGTTAAGTCCCGTTTAAATCTGAAAAGAGTTATCATCCATTTTCCACCTCTTTTAATCACCGTCAAGTCTTAAAAAAATAGGGTTGTAATCTATTTTTCACATCTTTTAATCAGCATTGTTTTATTAGTCAGAACATTAAACGTGAGTATATTAGGGCTAACTTATAAAATAATTAATATATTATCTCACTAACACATCTATACTAATATAAATTTAATTTTATTATATATATTTATTCATTGATATAAGAGAAGATAACAATTTTACTTATTCTTATTCACTATATAGTAGTTAATTATTAAACTCTGTTGTCATATAATGTCATTATTATTTATAAAGTTATAGAAGTTGCACGTCTTCTTGTTCTTTTTATTTTATGTAATGAAATATATTTAATGCACGTTGGTATTATTTATATAAGTAATCAATTTAAAATATGTAAATAAATTTAAAATTAAATAGTGTATAAATAATGTACAAAATATACACATATATTTTTTTAGAATTTAATTTTGTATATACTAACTAAACAACTTTGATTTAATAAAAGTTATGAACTCAATCTCTTCTAATATCAATTTTCTAATTTGCATTGTAATGATTTATTATATATATAGATTAGAATTTTTGCGACACCAACCAAACTAAGTATCACAACAACCAAGTAACAATTATGAAAAACCCATAACACAACAACTATCAATTAAATTTGGTAATAGAAAAATTACATACATATATATAAAAATATGAGGATTCTATATTTCTATTAACTGATGTATACACCACGTGTATATTTTGTTAAGGTATATTGGAATGTTCAATTTCATAGCATGATAACAATAAGTCTTAAAAATCGAAAATCTTATTGAAATGCCATATTTTTCTGTTAAAATAAAAATTCCCGTAAACAATAATTATATCATAGCAAATTCATTGTGTAATTGAACAAATTTCTATAAGTAAGCCCGATTTTCTGTACAAAAATAAAGCAACAACTTCCACATTTTAAAGAAATCAATTAATGTTGATTCGTTTTTGCTAAGAAAATAATAAATAAATAAAGTATAATTAATGAAAAGTAATTAATGATGAGAGAATTTGATCATATCTGTTTTTAAAAATCGTAACAAAAAAATAAATATTAAATAAAATTGTATTAATACGGAAATAGTAATGACAATAAATGTTGTTGACTTTTCTAACTACTAAATTTGGTAAATAGGACTCCTTTTAATATAAGTATAGATGGGGATTTGATTTGAGGACTACTCCTATAACTATTTTAGTATTTTCCAAACGTCATGAATCTTATAAAGTATGTCTTATTTGTTATACCATCATATTTTTTAATATTTATGCATACTTTAATGCTTAAACATCATAATTTAATAAAACTATGAATAACAAAAGTTTCTAATAGTATTATGCATTTTTAATTTAAAAAAGTACCTACTTAATGGTTACATACTTAAATTAATTGACAAAACATTTGTGTTCTTCAAGTTATGTTAGCAACAAATCATTTACTTCAAGTCAACATAAGATATTAAGGCCAAACCCGTTTAGGTTTGTGATCCAACATAAACTTTATATTATTGCTAGCTGTTTATAATTACTTTATCTCACGTTTAGATCGAATTAATTTTTTGTACAACTTCATATCATCCTCAATTGCGTTCCTGTGTCACAAAATAATTGGTGATTTTTTGTTGAATGAAAATGACCTGTAAGACTTTGCAATAATCTTTTACGAGAAGCTTAATATTAAACAGCTGGTTTTGAGTGATTGATGGAAATATAATCTCACACGTTATTATATAGCTAAATACAAATATTTCGTTTTGTATATGTTTGCAAGTTTGTGTGTGTGAGAGAGAGAGAGGAGTCGTGTGAAGGAAAATTTCAATATGATGCTTTTGTTTTTATCTTAATTAAATGACTTTTAATTATATTATACTTAACTGTGGAATTATTTTATTTAATATTTTTACACATGAAACGGGTGGGGACGGGTTAGGACCAAGTAAAATCCATATTTAAGAATCTGAATTACCCATTTACCCGACGAAGACCCACACCGGTTGGATAAAACTCAACTTGAACCCGAAGTTCACTAACGGGTAATGGGCCGGGATATGCGGGTCGAGTTCGGGTTTGCCAAAACCCAACCACTATCACTACTTAAGTACTTGTAGCAGTAGTCCAATGGCTGAGAATTCCTCTACCACGTCGCCAGAGGCCACGAAGGCACCAGAGACAGTGGCTGATGAGGCAGAGCGAGCGGAAGCTTCATCTCCCGATGTTCAGTTCGACTCATTGTCAATCGATGAATCAAGAACAAGCCAGAAAACCCTTACCGATCCCGACGACTCTAGGATTCAAGCTGTAATCCTCGAAATCTCTTGAATTCTATTTTATGGCTACTTGTACACATGTTATGGAATTGATTTTCCATTCCCTGTTCTATTCTTGAATTTATGGAGACTTTTACAACTCCGAGTGGATTATAAACTTCCTTGGATGACTAATTTGTATATATTTTGATGTATCTAGTTCTTTATCGTGGAATTAGGTTTTGTGTTGAGGAATTTATCATAATTGTTTCTATTGCATACTTTTTTCAATGTAATGTATTGATAAATCTCTACTTAGAAGAATCCCAGAACAATTAATCTGGCAATGAGTTGGCCCCTTTTCTCCTT